GAATCAAATCCTGTATAAATTTAGTTTTTTTGTCTTTCTATTACAACATTTAACTCCTATAAGTTGTGTTTGAAGTTGATAATAGAAACCTTTCTAAGTTAATATTAAAAAGTTAGAACTTCCCCGTGGGATCGATGCTGAGGTTTTTAAAGAAAACTCTATATTACTTGAAACGATACATATACTTGCGTAGTACACCTAGTGTGAAAGCTGTTCTTTTATTTTCTAAATCATTTTATTTGTTCATACTAGCTGCTAAGTATAATTTGGGCAAAGTTTTTGATAATCTTTTGGAATATAGAAATTTGCGTAAATGCTGGTTGGGTCAATCATTTAGTCAAACATGATCTTGTAGATTTCCATTTTATATCATCTCTGTCCAAAATTGCTTAAACTCATCCTCTAAATCATATTTATATGTGTTAAATTATCTCTGTATTATCTTATTATTGTTGAAGCAATGCACTTTTGAATTGGCCTTCTTAGAGATATCCCATTGATATAAGCTATGACGAGTCAGAGGCAATGCAACTTTTATAACTTCTCCCATTATTTGATCTTGATTAGTGAATATTGTTATCATGTTTTTATCATTCATTATGCGAATGAAGGGTTTGAAAAGCCAAGCGAATGACTTAGGGTATGTTTGGGGCAGCTACAGCTTATCTTACTCATGCTGATTAGCAGCTTATCCTGATAAGTTACTGATCAGCAACTGATTCTGATAAGCTAGCTGGTTGTTTAGTTTGTGTGTTCAGAAAACAGCTGCAAAGTTTTGGTGTTCGGAGAACAACTGCTTTGCTGCTGTTTTAGGATAAATGACCATTCTGCCCCTGATCTGAATAAGCTGCTAGCTGTTTGGTTTGTGCAATGTTTTAAATTTATTGAGTTGCAAAAATTAATTTTTTTTTAAAAATGTAACCTAACATTAAAAGTAGATAGTAATAATATAGAAGGATAAAAAAAATAAAAAAAGGGTATATGACATTCCATGATCTTTTCATGTGACAAAAACCTGCAATGGTACTTTCATGTGACAAAAATTTGAAGTTTCAATGCGGCTAAAGATTGGAGAATGTCAAAGTGTTCCTTGGACCTCAAGCTCAAGATTGTGATATAGTAGACCAAAAATAAATTCACTCAAAGCAATTCAAAATGATTAGCACATAATTGAGTAAACAACTCATGTTACACTTAACTAAGATTCATAAAACAAAGGCTAAAGAATTGGGCTTGAGATAAATTCATGCAGCCAATCACCATATTTCCAATTATTTTTTACCAAAATTGCCATTGATGGAAACCTATATATCACTTGAATATAAAATTCAGTACCATCATGTATAACATGATGCCATGAAGCATTGCAACACATTAGTCATAACACTTTCAGACTTTTAAAAAAGCATGCTCTTGTTTCAAAGCATAGTTCTACTTGTTTAAATTTATGCTTCTAATTGGAACCAATAGAAATGCACTATCTACCTGACCCACATCCATGTAAATAAATGCACTGGAGTTTGGTCTCTAGCAAAACATGGTTGCAGCTAGAAGGCTACTTATCTTTCCGAGTCTAGCCCCTCATTCATACTATGAATTATTTGGTGGCAAAATGACACTAAAAAATGCATTTGGCACTTAGTTTAGTATAAAAAGAAAGACATCACATAAGAAGATAAAGGAATAGTTACTAAATCATCTTTCGATTTTGATAATCCTTTCTTCAGTCACAAATAGGTTATCATAAAAAGTATTCAGAACGTTGCCAAATAGCTAGTTCGAAATAAAAAAAAGTAGGACAAAAGCAATAGACCTCAACAAGGCGGAGTTGAATATTCTCATCCGCAAATAGTGAATCAGATAGGTTCTGCCCTCGCAAGCCTCTCATCCGTATCGCAAACTGCTTATCCTATTCCATCCGCGCGCTGACCCTCTTGATCTCTTCTGAAACATTTCCAAATCTTTGCAATTCCAGTAAACCCTACTAATGTCAAAGAATAAGGTCAAAATACTCATTAAAAACACAGACATTACTTACATTTACAACTCCACTGATAGATCCATTGGGAGGCCCCCTCGAATTGTCCAAAAAAGTAGCTACGGTAGTCCTAGGTCTTGGTCTAGTGGCAACTGCAACCGTGCCTGAGCGCCGATTTTGTAGCCGTTGTGCTGACCTGGACAAATTTCCGTGTGAGGGCAAGAAGTAAGGGCGAGAGAGTAGACGGGTGCACAAAAGGAAAAAAAATTATTGAACACTTCTTCAAAACGGGCCACAGAGTTTATCTCGCGATCGCGTCTATTAAACAAATAAAAATGGTACTTTTCGTTAATCTCCTTAAACGCACAAAACAAATAGACATACAACGTTTTCAAAATGTTGCCCACAGTTATAAGCTATCCCAAACGTGCCATTAGTGATCTCTTCTGATGAAAAAATAACTCAAAATAAAACATTTTACCGATGATGATTAATTCCAACAAATGTTGCACAAACGAAGTTATAGTTATCAGGTCGATAACTTGTATCAAATACCATTGGAATCATCTCCTACTTGAAACTCATTCACTCCCTCTCTTGAAGCTTCTCTTTGGAGTTGAGACACCACCCTGCTCCCCCGCGACATATTTTGCAGTGGATCAAAACCATTTTATCTCCCAGGGACCAAATGCACATCCAATTCAATTTCATCTACAGAGGGGACAATATACCTGGATTAAAACCATTTTATCTCTCAGGGACCAAATACGGGACCAAATACACATCCAATTCGATTTCATCTACAGAGAGGGCAATAGACCTGGATTAAAACTATTTTATCTCTCAAGGACCAAATACACATCCAATTCAATTTCATCTACAAAGAGGGTAATAAACCTGCAAATTGGCTTGCTAGACTTGGCAAGAACTCTAAGGAAATTTTTGTTTCTTCTGTCCTTCCCCTCCTCTTTTCTTTTTCGCTGAATGGGGATTTTCTTGATGTCCCCTTCATTAGAGCTGTAATCTGATTTGAGTAATAGCTGTTTGGTTTGTGCAATGTTTTAAATTTATTGAGATGCAAAAATTAATTTTTTTTTTAAAATGTAACCTAACATTAAAAGTAGATGGTAATAATATAGAAGGATAAAAAAATCAAAAAAGGGTATATGACATTCCATGATCTTTTCATGTGACAAAAACCTGCAATGGTACTTTCATGTGACAAAAATTTGAAGTTTCAATGCGGCTAAAGATTGGAGAATGTCAAAGTGTTCCTTGGACCTCAAGCTCAAGATTGTGATATAGTAGACCAAAAATAAATTCACTCAAAGCAATTCAAAATGATTAGCACATAATTGAGTAAACAACTCATGTTACACTTAACTAAGATTCATAAAACAAAGGCTAAAGAATTGGGCTTGAGATAAATTCATGCAGCCAATCACCATATTTCCAATTATTTTTTACCAAAATTGCCATTGATGGAAACCTATATATCACTTGAATATAAAATTCAGTACCATCATGTATAACATGATGCCATGAAGCATTGCAACACATTAGTCATAACACTTTCAGACTTTTAAAAAAGCATGCTCTTGTTTCAAAGCATAGTTCTACTTGTTTAAATTTATGCTTCTAATTGGAACCAATAGAAATGCACTATCTACCTGACCCACATCCATGTAAATAAATGCACTGGAGTTTGGTCTCTAGCAAAACATGGTTGCAGCTAGAAGGCTACTTATCTTTCCGAGTCTAGCCCCTCATTCATACTATGAATTATTTGGTGGCAAAATGACACTAAAAAATGCATTTGGCACTTAGTTTAGTATAAAAAGAAAGACATCACATAAGAAGATAAAGGAATAGTTACTAAATCATCTTTCGATTTTGATAATCCTTTCTTCAGTCACAAATAGGTTATCATAAAAAGTATTCAGAACGTTGCCAAATAGCTAGTTCGAAATAAAAAAAAGTAGGACAAAAGCAATAGACCTCAACAAGGCGGAGTTGAATATTCTCATCCGCAAATAGTGAATCAGATAGGTTCTGCCCTCGCAAGCCTCTCATCCGTATCGCAAACTGCTTATCCTATTCCATCCGCGCGCTGACCCTCTTGATCTCTTCTGAAACATTTCCAAATCTTTGCAATTCCAGTAAACCCTACTAATGTCAAAGAATAAGGTCAAAATACTCATTAAAAACACAGACATTACTTACATTTACAACTCCACTGATAGATCCATTGGGAGGCCCCCTCGAATTGTCCAAAAAAGTAGCTACGGTAGTCCTAGGTCTTGGTCTAGTGGCAACTGCAACCGTGCCTGAGCGCCGATTTTGTAGCCGTTGTGCTGACCTGGACAAATTTCCGTGTGAGGGCAAGAAGTAAGGGCGAGAGAGTAGACGGGTGCACAAAAGGAAAAAAAAATTATTGAACACTTCTTCAAAACGGGCCACAGAGTTTATCTCGCGATCGCGTCTATTAAACAAATAAAAATGGTACTTTTCGTTAATCTCCTTAAACGCACAAAACAAATAGACATACAACGTTTTCAAAATGTTGCCCACAGTTATAAGCTATCCCAAACGTGCCATTAGTGATCTCTTCTGATGAAAAAATAACTCAAAATAAAACATTTTACCGATGATGATTAATTCCAACAAATGTTGCACAAACGAAGTTATAGTTATCAGGTCGATAACTTGTATCAAATACCATTGGAATCATCTATATAGTTTATATAATATTCAAAATAATGTTTATTATCAGATCTCTTGATGCATGCCAAACAAAGACCGATTTAGATACAAGCGAGCTTATCTAAATTATCTCGACAATTTGAACTTATCTGTGCCCTGTCATGAAATTAAGCTCTCATACATTTTTTTTTTAATAAAAATGATATATTTATGCTTTTTTGTTGTTGTATATTACTTTGATTATTTTTAATTCATATAGAAGAAATTTTCCAATTGAAAAATGGTATTTTTGTAAATGAGAAAACGAAGTCCACTAAAAAGTCAAAAACCAGAGAAAAATATTCCATGTTCCTCCGCTCGATATTTACTAGCTCTCCATTCCCCGTTTACAGCAAACCTATCATCACTCTCTTCTTGACAAACCGCCGCCGCTTCCCCCATCTGTTCTCCCCCTACGCCACCGTAAAACCTCAGATGGATGCCGGCGATGCCTCCGAGGACACTTTGCGCGGCATCCTAGCGGAGAAGCAGGCCTCCGTTGATTTACAGGCTGACATCGTGCGGAAGCTCAAGGCGGAAGCGGCCGCGCCGGTGGACATTGAGGCTGCCATCGAGTCACTCAAGGCCCTCAAGATGGAGGTCTCAGCCGTTGCTAAACATCTCCAGGCTATTGTCAGCAGCAGTGCTGGCGTCTCCGGCGATCGCGAGGCTTTCCGCCAAGTGGTCGTGAATACGCTGGAGCGGAGACTCTTCTATATACCCTCTTTCAAGATCTACCGAGGCGTCGCTGGCCTCTATGACTACGGCCCTCCTGGGTGTGCCATTAAGTCCAATGTCCTCGCCTTTTGGCGCCAGGTGGAGCACTTGAATCCTAGTTTGAGTTCGTTTGGTTTGGGAAATTCACATATTAAGCAGATCCGATGGTCTTTGATCTCAATTATAGCAGTGATTACTCTTATTTCGTCTGAGCTTCGCGAAGAGGCAATAATCAAAATTGGTTCCTGCAAAACAACAAAAATTAAAAAATAATAATAATAAAAAGAGATCAAAATATGCAAACTTTCCGTGGCAGAAGTTTTTTATTGTTTTCGATGCAAATTTTTGTTTTTTTTATTCTTGTGGGAAACTTCAGTTGAACTTTCTCCTTCTGCTTTATAGCATTTTGTTTTGGAGGAGAACATGCTCGAGGTGGACTGCCCTTGCGTTACGCCAGAGGTAGTCCTGAAGGCATCGGGGCACGTAGAGAAGTTCACGGACTTAATGGTGAAGGATGAAAAGACAGGATCGTGCTATCGGGCTGATCATTTGCTCAAAGACTTTTGCAAGGAGAAACTAGAGAAAGATTCCACACTTTCATCTGTGAAGGTAGCTGAATTGAAGCATGTTTTGGCTGTTTTGGACGACTTGTCTGCCGAGGAACTGGGTGCAAAGCTGAAGGAGTATGATATCACCGCTCCTGATACCAAGAGCCCTCTCTCTGATCCTTACCCCTTTAATCTCATGTTTCAAACTTCGATTGGTCCATCCGGTTTGAGCCCTGGGTAAGACATAATTAGTTCATTGGTGAAGAGATGTTTTGAATCTCCCTTTAGCGCCTGTTAACTTGACTATGACGGCTTTTCCACTGTAGGTATATGAGACCAGAGACGGCACAGGGCATCTTTGTTAATTTTAAGGATCTGTATTATTACAATGGCAATAGACTTCCATTTGCAGCAGCTCAGATTGGACAGGCCTTCCGAAATGAGGTTTACATTTCTGCTCTCTCTCTCTCTCTCTCTCTCTCTCGATATATATATGTATATATAGACACACACACATAGATACATAGATATATGAGTACATACATATTTATCCTCTTTGTATGCGGCCCACTCCACCTCCCCCAATAATAAAAAATAAGAGTAAAGGAGAACATAAATAAAATTTCTATCTTTACATCTTGAAATGTCACAACTTACCAGCCATACATGGTTGTTTGGGCATCAAAGAGATAAAAAGGCTCTTATAGCATTGTCATATTAATATTAATAGTAGCATCGAGTTTGGACCTTCTTTGTTGCTTGGATAATTTAGGCACATGCCTTGTGGTGTATGCGTTTGTTTGTTTTTAAATGTATTTATATGAAGAATTGACTAATACTGTGTTACAAGCTCATCGGAATTCTAAGCTTTTTGTAACATACCTTAAAGATGAATGACTTGGTCGATTTACAAATTATTTATATTAGATGAGTTGACATTAAAAATCATTACTATTAACATGATTTAAATTGAGCAATATGAGGCCTGTTTCAATGTTTTTTCTGAAAGATTCACAATGGGACTTTAGCCTCATAATTTTAGGTCCACTTCAAGGTGGCTATGATGAGGCATATGCAATTTAATCTAGGCTCTTCATGAAATAAATGTAAGTACATGAATCCTGATAAATATTCATTATATAACTATATAATACACATCTCAGATTACAATTGAAATTATTACTATCAACTTAGACATTATTTTAAGATTTAAGTAATATTTTTATTAATTAATATTTTGAAGATGATTGAGATTTAAGATGAGGAGGAATAAAGAACATCCATACAATTGAGAGCAAGATAAGAGACAAAGTGAATATTTTATGCTGATGATTTTAATGAGGGTCCACTTAGGGTTCATTAAGTGGTAAAAATGGAGATTTTTCACTTTAGAAATTAACCTTAATGACTTTTATTTTATTAATTTGATAGATGGCAGTAGGAGTGTGAGGGAATTTAATTGTATTTAACCTATTTTGAATTGTTATATTATATATATTTTTAAATGTTTGTATAACCTTTATTATTTTATTATTTCATATTTTAAGGTTAATATGTTTTTTCATAGTTTAAATAATTCAATACTTATACCATCCTTGGATGCTAAATATTTTACATTATGATCTATTTATAGGTTAGAATGTTAATATGTTACTTTTGACTACATATTTTAAACTTAATGTAATATTTTTTATTTTACAATTTATCGATTTTGGGCTTATGTCTCAAAATGCCTCGAGCCTCGCAACATGAGTAAAAAAAACGTCTCAATTCTCTATTGCACAATTTTAACTTTTGCCCATTGATAAATATACGATGAATTTGAATCCAAGAATATCTTTCAAAATTTCTACCACAATAAGAATCATGATCTCGTTATTTCATCAAATCAGTAACAATGTAACATTAATCACTTTTTTGTAGTGTGTGATGCATACAAATAACATCTCTTTCATCTAAGTTGCATAAATCATAACCTTAAAAACTACAAAATCAATAAAAATTTGCAAGAATGGACTCACCCGATAAACCATTTTTCCCAAAGAATTATAGCATGCAAGATTTATACTGAAAGTCATGAATATCTTAATAACTTTGTTGTTAACAATTACAATTTAACTCAATTGAATCATTTTTATTTTCTTGTCTTTAGCTTTAATCAAGCGCTGCATTTATTTTTGTCTTTAGCTAAAACAATATTATCAATAAGAATAAGCTCCTCCTCATCTCTTGGTTCTTCTATTGGCCTATCTTTTGATGAAGAATTAACATGTCTGGATAATGATTGTATTGCCTGGATTTTATAGAAGTGAGTACGAAGTTGGTCATTGGCTTGCTCTACCATATAGACCACCTCTACTTTCACAGCGTCTTCAGCTTTGATGTATTCTTGCACTCTAATTTCTAAGCGACACTTCAAATGAACGCCATGTTCAAGGTGTGGTACAAACAGTTCCTCAGTTAGAGCACTTTGATTGAGATTGGTTTCTTCCTCAGAAAGAGTTGTTTGACTATGGGATCCCTTGGAAGATTCTCTTAAGTGTTGACCACCGTGATGTTCATCAACTTGAGGCTTCTTCTTCATAACTCATGCTTAATTGATCTTGTTAATGGTGAATTTCAGGGAGTTCACACCAGATGCGCCTCTGCTTTCATCAATAAAATTTTCATTCTCATGGAGCCTTGGCCTCTACATTATGTTTGCCCTTTCACCGTGATTTTTTGACGATGTATTCTTAAACACTTTGTCTGGGTGCTTGACCCAATATTCAATCAGCGGGACATGCTTGGCTGATTTGCAATGATAATTGATAATAATCTTTTAGTTGGACTTTTGTTTGCCCTAGCTACAAGAAGTCTTTCATATATATTTTTTTCATTGAATCCCTTTTGCAACTTCTAGGCCGTTTGTACTCGGGCAAACAAGGTATCAGACTTTTTATTTTCCCTCAAAATGAAGTTGGCTTCATTGATTCTAGAAGGACTGCTTTATATCGCCAGTAGAGCTGTTCTCCTCCACATATTTCAGATTTCAAATTGTAGAACAGAGGCACTGATAGGTGTTAGAGAAGCCTTCTATCCAATAATAATTTTTTTCATAGTCGGGGGTTTAGCAGGAGTCACTCTCTCTTTGACTGAGACCCCCTTTCTAGGAGCCTCGATGGTATCAAGAGCAACACAATCCTGGTCCACGCATATGTTGGTTTGCACGACGTTCAGATGAAATGACAGATTGAGGTATCATAGGATGACCTCGAGAAGACATGTCACAAATATATACGACAATAGCAGTAGCGACTTCAGTAGAAATTTTCATACCATTTAAGTGGATTGTGGCACTAGTATTGCCGGTGCTGATTACAACATTGGTCGTGCGAATGGTGGCAATATGTCCAAGCTTTACTACAAATAAAATTTTTTGAAGATTCATCCTGCATAAATGAAAGATGTCTATTAGTAATTAATATTTAGTATTGCATCTCCACATTTTCAAAATACATCCAAAAAATAACATAAATATTGATAAGAATTGATTAACAAACTCAAACATGAAATTGTACTAAATAAGAGTTATAAATCATACTGGCAACCTTTTTAGATATCAAATTTTAACTTTATTATGGCCTTTTGCTGCTACTATAGCTCAATTATGGTTAGCCAAAGATGAAAAGAGAAACCTTCCCCAGCTGAGTCTTCAAAAATCTATGGGTTTCGAAAATTCCAACACCTTGGACTCTTGCATGTTTGTGTTAAGAGAGCTTTAAGGGTTAAATATTCCGAAGATAGATGAGATTGTAAATAAGATGCTATCCAGAGATTTTACCATTATTTTGCAAGGACTTTTTGATTTGGGATTTGATATTTTTCATAGGCGCAAACTCATTGGTTAATTACCCCTCCTGATAACTGAAGAGCACATTCAGTTAAAGCTAGCCATTTAACATTGAATATTCAAGATATAGTAGAAGGAGACATACGGTTTGATTTGTAAAATTTATCACTTAGAGCTTAAAGCAAATGATGGAGGGGAATGATGATGAACCCGATCAAGATCCCATGATTCTGGAATCCCAAGTTATCTGATCCTTGTTCTACGTGGTTAGAGGACATAGTCAACCAATTATTACTGAAGGATTTTTGTCTGCAACTATGAGTTGCGTTGTCCAAGTGACTCTTGTAGATATGGGGTGAATGTTTGTCTAAGAAGACAAATGTAAGTCGATCTTAGTTAACAAAGGGCTGTGTCAATCAGATGCACTCTTATAGTTCACAACTCAAAGGATAGAAAGTCGTTGGGAACATATCGATTGCGGCCGTGACTATAATCCGTAATATAATGGTGTCATTTGACAACAACCATCCGATCAGAGGGCTCTGATTGTAATCTCCATTTTGTGAAGCATTTAGACCAAATCACAGAAATATGATTTGATTTTTGTCCTTACTGGCATGAGATTATATTGAGTGTGAATACAGTGATACACTACATTTGACTTTCACTCTTTGTGAACTATTGCGGAAGGTGGATTGAGTTTACTTTAACTTTTTAGGTGAATAATTTTACTAGAGTTGTTACTTGTGTTCGAACAGGAGGATTGACCAAGAATTTTCCTATTTTAGTTGGATTACATCAGGGATCGGCTCTAAGTTCATATCTTTTTGCCTTAGTTATGGATGCTCTTACTGGACTTTTACAGAAGATCGTACTTTGGTGTATTCTTTTCATTGATGATATCCTTTTTGTGGATACGACTAGAGAATGAGTCCAAAATAAACTTGAATTATGGAGATCTATATTGGAGTCTAAAGTTTTTTGTTTAAATAGATCTACAACTGAATACATGAAATGTAATTTTAGTAGTAGTAGCTCTAGTGACAGAGTTGTAATTACGAGCGATCAAACAAGTAAAAGGTGTAAATATTTTAGATATCTTAGGTCTATTGTTCAAAGTGATGGTGATATAGATAAGTATGTTATTAGTAGAATTCAAGTTGGTTGGTTGAAGTGGAGGGATGCACCAAACCTATTATGTGATAGAAAAGTACTGCTTAGACTTAAAAAAAAATTTTATAAGATGGTGGTGAGACATGCAATGCTCTATGATGCAGAATGTTGGCCTTTAGTAGAGAAGCATAAAACAAAGTTAAGTGTTGCTGAGATGAGAATGCTCAGACGGATGAGTGGTTTGACACTTAGAGACAAAATGCGAAATGAATATATCTGTGATAGGATTGGTGTAGCTCCAGTGGTGAACAAGATTAGAGAGAGTCGTTTTAGATGGTTTTGTCATATTAAACATCTGGTATCTGGTGATCCAGTTAGGAAAGTAGATGTTTTAGATTTGACTTTTCCTAAGAAAGGCGGAGGTAAACCTTAAATGACTTGGGCATATTGTATAAAAATGATCTTAACATATTAGAATTAAATGAAAATATGACAATCA